TTGGCACCTGCTTTGGACGATCGAAATTTCGCATTTTTCGTTCGATTATTCGCTTCCGTAATTCATCGTAGCTAATGAATACAAATAAAAATATTAATATTGTTATTATTACGTTTAACATTTTGTTGGAATAACTTCGTATAAAAAAATTGGTTAAAATGGTTTGCGGAAAGAACTCTTAACTGCACTCGATCACCTCACAGACTAATGTCGAAATCGTTTTTTGATTTTGTATATAAATGTAAACATGAAAATTGCATTAAATATTCGTTTTTTTTGGGAAGATCATAATTGATGGATTGCAAGGTAAAAGTTAATGACATTTGATCATGGACAAACAATAGAATTGCGCCTCTTTTCATTCTCAACCTAAGAATCTGAACAAGCGATGACAAGAAATATCGAATGCATAATATGAATCTAATGTAGAATGAAAAAAATGGAAGCTGAACGAAAAAAAGATAGCCTTCTGAATGATCATTCAAATGGTCAAACAAATAACGGTTGCAGTTTTTATGTTGTTTCTGCTCATATGAAGTGACATTTTTTTCATACGTGTTTTCAGTTCATTGGAGCGAAACGGAACTTTTTTGAACATTTTAGTATAGATTCCATATGTATTTTGGTTATACTCATAATAAATGGTGCAAAAAATGCAAATACCAAAATCATCCGAAACAAACTCTTGACTTTTAAAAAAACTATATTTCATAATTATACACTGACGAGATAAAAACAGTCTCAAGTTCTTGTTGTGACTTCTGACCTCAATTTTGGTTATCTAAAAATGGGTAAATGCTTGTCAGCGATGGGAAAATGTTTGTTCTCGATGAGGAAATGTTTGTTTAAAATGACGAATGGAACAAATTTGCGCATGTATGAATGCAATTGTTACGTCTTAATTTTTAATTCAAATTAAAGAAAAAAAAAAACAAATGATATAAATGTCAATATGATATTAATTTTTATTTATTTATTTATTGTAGGATATAAAAGTACAATTAAGTTATTTATTCTATACTTATTTAATACTATATTATTTAAAAAATACTACAGGCTAATACACAATGATTCATTTCTTCTCCATAATACACACATGATTAATACACAATTCTTTCAAAAATTTCAATTTATTCATAATCGAAAAATTATCTACCGTGTGAGGTGTGAAAATTGAAAATTTTTCAAGTTTAACATCATTATTGGCCAGTGAATCTATACATTTGTTGAGATTGTTTGTATTCACTCCCGAAGAACATGTTGTCGATATATTTAAATTTTTCAAGTATTTAAATCGACCCAATATTTCAATTTCATTTCTATAATAATAATGTTCTAGTGACAGGTTGACGAGATTGGGTAAAACATTTGGCAACATTGTTGATAACGGAGCGCAATTAATTGTTATGCTTTTGATTTGTGTGTTATGTCTTACAAAATTAATATATGAATTTACAACTTTCTTTTCATTGAAACTACCTATTGCAATCGCTCTGTTGCTTGAGCCAATATTTAAAATTTCAAGTTTTGGAAAGTTTCGCATGATTTCGGCTGAATTAAAATCGACATTATGCATCGTTAAACATTCCAGTTGTGAATGCAAATTGAAATTCTTTAATGAACTTATATTGACAATGCTTAAATTTTTAAGAACTTTAAATGGTGTTTGTGTTTTAAAGTCCAAATTTTGTGCACCAGTGATGTTCAATTGAAGTAGTGTGTTTCCACAATACTTGGCAACGGTATTTATATCCATTACAATATGCCCTTTGGAATTTTTCTTATCATAGTTATACCATTCAATCGATGTAACTTTTGATCCAAAAATTGTTAAAAACCTTTTCGCTTGTAATGGCGTTAATTTATTTGATAGCTTCATCGAATTAATATTTGAGATAGATATGTTTTTAAATCTAAATCCAATTTGTGCGTTCATTTGAATTCTTTTGCATACCCTGGCTGCATTCAAGTAGTCGACAATTGATAAATTTTTTAAAATCATTTCAATGCAATCATCGTTTAAAATACTTAACATTTTAGAATATTCAAAAGTATTTTGTGTGATTTCGTTGGAGTTTGAATCGTCGTGATTTAGATGTTTTTTCGTGCTCGATTTATTTTTGCTCTTAGATTTGCTCGATTTTATCACCTCTTCATTGCGTCGATTTTTAAACCAAATGTTCACCGTATCTTCATTTAAACCCAATTGGTTGGACAATTTCCTACGAGCCACGGAATTGATTTTTTTCGATTTACTGAAATTGCATTCTAATATGCGCAATTGTTCACCGGAGAATGTTGTTCGACTTTTTTTCTGACAATCCATTTTTGAGCACGGTTTAATTTTGTTTACTAAAAGTTTAACTGCGTAAGGACAACGTGAAATATCAAAGGTGTTTTCCTCTTGAGAGCTTCCACCAGAATGAATGTATGATGCTTGTGACATTTGTTTGAATATCTTTGCTGGACTAATTAGATGGACTAATTAGTGGTTGTTATTAGTACCTAAGTGTTTAACCTTAATGACTCTAACACCTTAATTATCTCCCCGACCCATTGTAAAACATTAAATAACCTCTTTAGGTACATAATTACAGGTATATAAATTAAAAGTAATTAATGGTCTAACTTCTACTCTAATTAACTAATTTTACGCGGAATTCGTCTCAAATTCCAGGCAGAATAACTAATGATCAAAGTCAGAAGTACAAAAACTCTTTCGCCAGGTATATTTTGTTCTTAAGAGATTAAGGACTAATTAATTATTAAAACCACCCTTTGAAAACAGAAAACTGATTATAGATAGCTAATGATGAATAATGACACATACAATGGGAGGAAATGACAGCAAATTTTAAAATTGGCGCGCTGTTTAGTTTCGATTTGAGTTGTAAAATTACATTGACGTCCCCTTTGAAATTCGGTGCGCCACCGTCGGCTCAAAGAGACTTGAAGTCTTCACATCCTCTCATTGGACACATATAAAGATTTTAATGAATTTTCTCTTGTTCTTTACCAAAAGTGAAAAACGAAGCAGCGCAGATGCCGAGGTATACAATCAAATTCCAACTGGATATGTTTGTGTGAATGGAGTAAGTTTGTTATCTCAGCAAAAAAAAAAGTGAAAATAATTATTCACAATGCATTCACAATGCATTCACAATTCTAAAGCACATACCAAAACACTTCATCTCGAAATTCGTCTTTTGTTGTATTTCCTTATTTTTTTCTTTTTTTATCGTAATTTAACGAATTAAAAATAAATTTTAGTACTTTGATAAGAAAATATTTTTTTTGCTTACGGATTCAGCTGTGGATGCAGTATATTTGTGTAATGGTGGTAATCAACTTTGAATTTGTCGGGAGAACGCGTAGACGGTACTCCGACAGAAGGTAAGCTAATTCATTCATAACTTACTTAAAAAAAATGAGTTTCTCTCAGATTTAGCGGGGATTCTTCGATCTGAAAAAGCATTCAAATAAAATGTGGTTCGTTATGAGGAGAAAAGGAGGAGTAAACTGCCAGTATTCTGTATGATCATGAGCGCGGATGTGATTTAAAATAATGGACGACGTTTGCTATCTACCGATTCAGTTACGTAACCAATTCAAATTCGCAATGATTCAAATGTCTGTAGTTTCGTCAAGTTTTACGAATTTTAACTTTTTTTTTACTATTTTTAGGCGTTTTTGGTATCGATTCATTGTGAAACTCTAATTAATTGTTTAACACCTTTAGTGCTTCAGAATTAAATTTACTTCCTCATTTCAGACAGATAAAATTCGTCTGAACTACACTCTACGGGTCCATCAAAAAAAATAATAATTTTTTCTGTAAAAGCTCACGAATTAGAAAATAGAATTCAAATTCTCAAAAAAGGTATTTATGTAACTCTCTCTATATAAAATTATATCTGAAGTGTTAGAATTTCAAAAAATTGATGGACAGAACTTAATTGCTAATCTTCTTAATTGCTACTCAAGACATTCCAAATTAATATGGAAAAAAATTGATCGATTTCGGTGATTTTGATCATAAAACATTTTCCGTATTTGAACGAAATAAAATGTCGCAATCAATTCGCTTTTGGACTTTTTTGTTTTATTTTTTTGAGTGTGTCTCATCCCAAAGATAAAACTTCAAAACAGAAATTTTCCACTGCAATATTCATCACTTTAAAAGTGAAGACATGACTGTTTTTTCACGTACAGGAGGTTCGTTCTCGTCATTCATCGCTTAGTATGGAAAAAAATTGCGCACGCGTAACCATTTATTGTAAGTATACGAATGAAATATTATGCATTCACAAAAGTAATTTACAGATAATGACGGCCTAAATATTGTTGTTTTGAAAATGAATACGATATACACTTTATAATAATATTATAATCGAATAATAGATTCGATCGCAATTCTCGATCTTGTTAATGCGCATAAATTGAACGGCTTACGTCAAAGATGGTTGAACCAAATATAATACCGAATAAACAGCTGAATAAACACTTTTTTTTTTTCAAACAAATTGACAGTTTAAGCCCAAATATATCTTCTCATGATGCAATTAATTTTTCTTTCCACTCAAAAAAACATATATAAGCC